AAACAGAAATAAATTTGAATTTAAGGTTAAGCAGGTCCATATTTGTTTATTTTTCCTTCCTCCTCTGCTGTTTTCTATGCTTTAGACAGTCTTATTTTCAGTGGCTTCCTAACAGAGCCTGCAACATTCCTTATCACAGTTGTCCTCTTCCCACTGGCCAGATGTGTTCTCTAGAGGTTGTGCTTGATCTGAGATGGGATCCTTGTCCTCTCTGAAGTCACTGGAAGGTTATCCATGGGCTTCTGTGGGAGCAGCACTGCAGCAATATGACTTAAATCCTGCCTACAAGGAATGGGATTTGGTTTATATCCATAAATCAGGACATGGCCCCTTATACTTACCTTGACTGTTTTAATTTCTTTATTTTAAAAGGCTTTCAGCTAAGATTTCCTTACTTTTATTTATGATAGCTTAGATCCCTGTAAAAAAGTCTGGAGTAAATCCATGCTTCCAACAGGACACATCCTACAAAAGTCTGGGAACTCTTAACCATAGGAAAAATGACCAGGCTTCAGGATGACTCATTGTCGCTATTTTGCAAAGATGTTGGAAGAAACTGGGAAGCAAAGACTAATTAATGTACTTCCTACTTTTTTGCAGATTCCCATCTGCTCTGCCTCAGTTTCTGAGGGCCCCAACACACACAGAAGTGTTGTTCTGCCTGCAGACACATGGCAAGGACTGGGGCCACTCTCAGGCCTCCTCCTAGATTGCTTACAAAAGTGGGGGTGACAGGACAGAGGGAATGGATCCCCACTGCCAGAGGGCAGGGTTAGAGAAGATATTGGGAAGAAACTCTTCCCTGTAAGGGTGGTGAGGCCCAGAGAAGCTGTGGCTGCCCCTGGATCACTGGGAGTGTCTCAGGCCAGTTTGGACAGGGCTTGGAGCATGAGGTGTCCCTGCCTATGGCAGGGGGTAGAACAAGATGGGCTTTAAGGCCCCTTCCAACCAGAAGCATTGCAGGATTCCTGTGAAATTCTTTCTAAATGGCTTTTTCTTGAGACTCTAAGAACATTTTTTGCAAATGTCAGAAAGAGTCATGTTCTAGTGAAGAATACTTAATTAAAAGATCTTCAGATACTACAAAAGACTCAAAATTGGGTAAGTGCTAGTTACAGCAAGAATTTTCTAAAAGGGCAAAGAACTTCTCTCTCAACTGGAGCAGAGCCCCACATCCTTCCCAGCAATGTCTCATAGGGAGGACATCCCACTCACACTGGGAAATTATTTCTATTAATGAAAGTTAAGCAGTGAAGTTTGAAGTTGCTTATTAAAAAAAACCCAATGCAACAAACTGTGCCTTTCTATGGGAAAGAAAAAACCCTCATCTCTGTCACTTCTCATGATAAAAAAATGGCAACGTTGAAACTAACCATTTCAGAGTCAATATTCCTGCTCATCTTTGGAGGAGATGGAGGAAGAAATCCATGTTATTTGCAGCAGGGCCTTGTTTGGAGGTGTTAGCCAGTTCTCCTAACTTCCTCCACACTGTTAAAATCATGGATCTTTACCCAAATCAACTTGCTGTGAAGTCAGAAGACTGGGAACTGGATGGAACTCGGAAGAGATAAACTGAATGGGAAATGGGTTTTAAAGAGAGACCTCTCGCCCCCAAGGTAAGAAACTCTAGGAAACTACAGAAACACATTGTTCTGGTTCAGCTTTTTGCTAAGGCCAAAGGATTTAAAACAAACATGGTTCCAAAACAGCAAAAGCAAAGACTTCCATTCCTCCCCTAGACAGTCACAATATCCTACTGACTTTTTGCTATCACTGCAGAGTATTTCCAGCTTCAGCTATTAGCACAGAAGAAATGAAAACTTGCATTTTGCTGTTTGTCTGGAAATTAAATCCCCGATGCTCTATGTGAATCAGTTATTCACAAGGAAAAAAGGTTCAGACCTCTCAAACATCCCCTTGGCTCTTGCAGTGCATTGGATTGTCTTCAGAAAAATGGAAAGACTTCTAAGTTCTTCATGAGAACAAAAAAGGGAGGGTTTCCACCAACACAGGGACAATAAAATCTCCAAGTAAATATTAAAGGTTCTCTGAAAACAGATATGAAAATCAGGCAGATTTGACAGGACAAATATTTCCCATGTCTCAAGAAAAACAAGTGTTCAACACACTAACTCTGGACAAGACAAGCTGTGAAGGTACTCTCCAAAGAAGTCTGGAAATAGTGAATATTCATTTTGCTAGCATGAATCTCACAAAGCATAATAAAAAATTTTCACAAGACCCTGCCTTCCAATCTACACAGGAACAGGGAGAATCTGAGCAAATGACATCTCCCCATGCTAGGGAACCAAGCCTAGGTCTTGTTTCTAAAAATTAACTGCATTCCCAGAGCCACATTATAATATTCTGATTAGCTTTTTCTATTCTACGGCATATTTTCATTTCTCATTCAAGCCCACATCTTCCTCTGCTTCTTCAAGTTGGGCATGGTTTTCCTTCTTCTGATGGGAATGCGCAGGCTGAAGGACTCGAAGATCTGCCTGCCCTTTAGATTGTTTCACAGGAAAAAAGAGAGGAAGTCAGGTCCTTGTTGCAAACTCATCTCCAGACAAATACCTGTTCTCCACTGAGTGAAACATAAGTGCTCCAAAAAACAGCCACTGGAGGGAACAGGCAGGATTTTGAACAGGACAGCTGAAATCCTCTTCTTCTCTAGAAGCACACAGACTCTCTTGTTTTTCCTTTTCAGGTTCACAAGCTGCATCATGACTTTTTTCTTTCAGCAACATCCAGATGGAAACTATTAACTATCTACTACTATTAAAATTTCTTCTTCTGATTCTAATCTTGCTATCATGGCTTTTTCACATGATCACTCAGCATGTTCACAAGAAAGAAGAGCAATACTTCCTGACAGCTTGTCTACAAAGATATTTAGCAGGAGAGACTGCTAACAAGCCTCTCTGTCCACAGGACAACCAGTGCTTGTGGGACAAAGAGCCACCACAAAACCTTCTCCTGCTTGTATATTAAACAGACCAAAAACAAGAGTCTTAATTACAAAACTACTGACTGCAACAATCAAAAAAGTTTTAATCATTACCATGAAGGGGAAATTGAGTAGGGAGTGTACATTCTCACTTCCACAAGAACATGGATAAACATCTCCTGAAACTACACTTGGAAACATCCAGTATGAGCAATTACCTGAGGAAATCAAAGTTAGAGTGGATCTTATGAACAATAATTTTAGAGATATATGGGTGTGTTCACATTATCACCCAAAGATACTTTTCTTGATACTGGAACAACAGTCAGTTACATTAAAACTCTAGTCTGCTACCACTGATTAGATCTGCTTGCTCCCTTGACTACTTGGCAAAGCCAAACAAGAATTCACTGATCTCCTCTTCAGATAAATACTCAAACCCCATAGTCTGGGGTTTTGTTTTAAAAATCAACTTAGCCATTAGTCACTGAACTACACCAAACTTAGCAAAGCTGCAAATCTCACATCTTCAGGCTCCCAGAAGCTTTCCAAAGAAATAGAGCTGTTCCCCAAGCTTCCCTTCTTTTGTTCTGTTGTTTGCCATGAAGAACATATAATAGCAATCTCTGTGATGCTCAGATCTGTGCCCTATCATGAGGATCTGCTGTTCATCAACTCCAGAGAAACTAAACTTACTACGTCTCCTCCCCCCAGACTTCACCACTTATCATTTTGAGAAGGAAAGAGGTGGTAATAAATAAACTTTACAAGAAAAAATTGTTTCCTTTCCTCACGTTTTGCAGTCACAGACATCAACCCTCTAACAAGACAATTTGAAGGATACCATTTAGTGAAACCCTACCAGGTTTCCTTGTCAGACAAGAAAAGTTTCTTCAGTCTTTTACAAAAAGTTCTTACGATCTCTGGTTTTCGGATTCACAAATTCAGACTCAAGTTTGAATTTATGTATTGAGCATATATTGAAACGACAAGGGAGAATGGCTTTATACTATAAGAGTAGGCTTATCTTGGATATTAGGAAGAAATTCTTACCAGTGCGGGTGATGGGACCCTAACACACGCTGATCAGAAAAACAGTCTGCCCCATTCCTGGAAGTGTTCAAGACCAGGCTGGAAGCAACATTATCTAGTGGAAGGCATCCCTGACCGTGGCAGGTAGCAGAAGCAGGTGGTACTAAAGGTCACATGGAACACAAACTACTCTTTGATTCTATGATGATTCAACCTCTGCAGGTCCAGGTGGATGCCAAACCTGCTCTTCACAGGCTTCTCCCTTCCCCTGCCCCTGTGCCAAGTCCAGCGGGCCTCAAGGACCGAAAGGAGCACAGAGAGCCAAAGGGGGACACTTGCACCTGCCTCACTGGGAGCTCCCTGGGAAGCACTTTCCTTGTGAAGCAAGCCCCTGTCCTCCAAATGCATTACCCCAAATGTGCAGCTTTTCTGCTCAACACCAACACACCCTCGAGAAACGCTGGCAAGGCTGAAGGACTTCATGTCCTTTCAGCACAGGCACTCCAGCTCTAGCTGGTATTCTCCCAAGTGCCTTTCCACGTGGAGGCTCAGACGTGCAGCCCCAGGCCCTCTACAAACACCAGCTGCTCACTGCCTCTTCCCCTGCCTCAACTCCTGCCTGCGCTCTCTGTTAAGCCCGCATAGTTGCTGGTTCTGCCCTCTCCCTGATCCTGTGCAGGGATGGAGCACTGTTGAGCTTTCAGGAAGCTATTCCTGAAAACTTCCAGCATTCCAAGCTCCATGGAAGCTTGCCATGGAATCCCTCACAGCTGGCTTCCGAGCATACTCAGGTTGGCTCTTCCAAATTCCAGGGGCTCCAGGCTGCTCAGCAGGATCTGCAACTCCACAGAGTTGTGGAACTGCACCTTCAGCACAGGCACCTTTCCAGCCTGATCTGCCCTCGTTCCTCTGTGTGTGTGTGCACAGAACACGGCGTGGAAGAGAACAGCAGCAGGGGCCTGCGTGTCCCAGGGCCCGGGATTTGCACCAATTCAGCTCCACAGAGATGGAGGCAAAGTGAAGAAGCCAAACTGTTTATTTATGCAAGGTGAAACAAAGGGATAAGCTGGGACATAAAATAAGGAAATGGGCAGGGTCTGATGGCTGTTGAGACCAAGCTATCAAAAGGGAGGAATTGTGGAGAGAAAAAATGGAGATGGCCAGTGTCTGAGGGCTAGAGAGAGGGAGCTATCTATAGGCAGAGAAAGGGCTGAAGCCATGAGAGCTGTGCCCAGTATCAACTATGCCAGGAGTTCCAACAGCACTGAGAGATTTTGTCCTCTACAATGCCTCCTGGCGTTGTTCTTAGGACACTGATTCACTGGATTCTGAAGATGAACTTAAATCTTTAGCTCTTCGAGGAAACTGGGCTTGATTTCCCAGGTTAGAGCATGATGGTCTGGCATCTTGCCTCCGGGTTTGAAGGGCTGGAAGAGACAGCAACACAGACATGGTCAGATCCTGGATCTGTGGGAATCCGAGGAGACTTTCTGAACAGGCCCAGTCAAACCCAGAAGGGAGTAGGAGACATTGGAATCAGCTGGGAGGTACTTGCCAAGACTCCCCGACCTGTCCCTGAAATCTCTGTGTGCTCTGCCCACACCACCCCTCGTGTGCACAGGGAGCTGAGCCCTCTGCAGCCGGGGCAGGGCTTGCAGCTCTCCCGGCCAGCCCCCGCTGACAGCCCGCTGCCCTGACTCACCCTGAGTGAGCACATGAAGCTCGGCTGGCTGTCCCTTCAGGTAGCGC